ATAGCACACAGCACTCCTTATTTCACCCACCACATTTTAGGATGCATTTCCTTTCCCTCAAATCACGTAATTACTACATGATCATCCAATACATCCGGTTGTCTTCCTCCTTAGTCACAGCCAACTGCTGAGTTCCCAGCATACAGCAAAAATCCTTCCAGCTCATAATAATGCTGTGGCTAAAATGCTATTTGGAGACAGCACAACAGAAATGTGATGAAATTTAGCCAATGATATGTGGTCCATAGTGTGTAATTCTGGCTGGGAAATGACTCCAAAGTTCGTGACATCGCCCAATTTAACCAGCATACATTTGCTTTTTACTGATAACATTGCCATAAATAATAACTAAGACTGGCCTTAAGATAAAATCCATGAAGAATATAATGATTACAACATTCCAGTTTAAAACTTGCATTTTCTCTCCCTTTTAGCCAGTTATTTCCCTAATGAAGTCCAACCCTGAGATCTTGTTACACTTTTTCTACAAAATTCAGTTAGTGAAGAAGACATAAAGTAACAACCTTTCCTTGCTAAAACCTTTCCTTGTAAAACCTGATTCCATTTACTCCATTTCACATTCACCTCCACATCTAATTATTTCTTCCTCCTAAAATTTCCTCTTACATCTGCCATGTGAATCATATTATCTTCATAATTAAATATGAATAAGAGACTTTGTATTCTGCAATCCTATAGGGTTATTTCTGACTTGTTAGGATTAAAGAAAACAAAAAATACGGCAAACGCAACTGGAAATCTACTTTTTTGCAGGGTGTAAGAATGGAAGATATACACTCCCTGACTTGAGCATTTTAATTTTGCTCTGTATCAATTGACATCACCATCCTCATTGAAAAGTGAGCAGAAGGATTAATTCCTAAGTAAGGACAGAGAAAATATTTGTCTGTGTCTTAGAATTTCTTTCCTTTTCCTTTTTTTAGGTGCAAGAACAAGTTCTGGTATTTTCTTTGCAAGGTCTAATTCAGATTTGTATCTTTATCTACGCTTGTTGATATGCAAGTCTACAGTTTCCGTATCTCCAGTGCACACAAGGTTAAGAGTCAGGTTGCATTCAAGCAGCTTTTAATTGAACTCTGATGACCAGGGCTCCTCCTAATTAAAAAAAAGTTCAGACCACAAGTCTTGAGACTGACTTTTTTTACAAAGAACATGCAGCAGAACCTATCAGTGAGTGTTTTGACAGGGAAACCAGGACCTCACACAACCCCTTCATGTCCACCCCAGTCTCCTACACACCTAAGTGTGGGGACACAAAACTCAGTTCTATTCAGAGCAGCACAAAATCCAGTTTGACTTATGAAGGTTTAGAAGCACATGAAATGAGTCATGACTTACTTTTTGCACCTCAGTTTATCAGAGACATTTTCCTGCTGGACCACAAAAAATTTGTATCAAAAGGAAACAGGTGGTAGGAGGGAAGAGGAAGGACAAATAAAAACATAAACAAAAAAAGCACACAGCCCAAAAATTCCAGTGGTACTTAAGGAAACAATGTGAAAGATACTGATCGGCAAATACTGTTTTCCTTGTTCCAGCTGGTCTGTTAAGATTAAATCTCCCCAAACCAAGATCCAGCACCAGCACTGATATGAAACCCTGAACAAATCTACCCTACAGAAGAAGGAAGGGGATCTGGAACAGAAACATCATGCAACTGCTCTCCAGCTGGAAAGAACACATCCCATGGCACTGAAGGCTACTTCTTCCTGCTCTGTGACAAAGGCTGCAATCACAGAAACAAATTAGATAGAAGTACCTCTTAACCTATTAAAGAAAGCCTTTATTCTTTTAAATTTTGTTTGTGGTTAGCACATTAAGTCTTTCTTTAGAAACGCAACTATTGAAGATAGTTGTTATTTAGTTTAACTAAATGTCATTTCCAAAAGCTTTTGCAAGACTTGGGATGAATTCCTAAGAAAGCTTTGTCCAGATGGAGAACTGTATGTAAGGAGAATCAACCACCATAAACTGGGTTTGTATTATCATTTTCACAGAAATAATGATCAATATTCAGACAGTTACTGGATAAAACTAAGCCCTCAGTAGGGAATCCTTGACCTTGTTTGCAGAGTGGGGAGATGGATATGCCTGGAGTGGCTCTTTGATAGAACTGGACTCCACATAGATAAATGTATGTTATCCATCTGGTGCTGTAATTGGCAGACTTTATACATAAGGCACATGTTGCTCAGCCTTGCCTGTTCATATAAAATGTCATAATAACCTTTATATTTTGCATGGGATATAAATTTGTAAAGAAATCTACACACACTCTTTTGTCCTGCTTTTCCTCTTTGAATTTCCAGCTTATTATTAAGGCATCCACAAAGGTCACCTTGGACAGCAATGGAGAGTCAAAGGGAACTCCTCTCCATTGGCTGTGTCCTTTCATGACTTTAGAGAAGAAAGTTCTGGCAAGAGCACGTGCCCCTAGAGCACACAACGCTGCAATGAGCTAAAGTTTACACATGGCCACAGAATTACAACAGAAGGTGCCAGCTCTCAGTACAGCACAGTTTGGCCATCAGCCACATGCTGAAGCTGGACAGTTCTGGGAGCCTGCTCAGCCAAGGTATATTCTGAAGGTGCCTCAATAAAGCTGAATCTCTCCACTGGAAGTCAAGCACACAGCTCAGTTACTCTTCCTTCTCAGGGTCTTGTGCAGACTGGCTTTCTCTGCTTAGGCTGGTAAATAAAGTGTTGTAGCATCTCCTATATTTGAGACTGAGTATCGTGCTTTGACATTTGAACCCTGCAGTTCTCAAACTCCTTGTCACCCTGTGTCATATCATCACATACTTGTACACCCATCTGCTCCACACTATCCACTCACTCTTCTGCAACACTGAGTGCCAAAAATAATCCTGAAAGAGAAACCTGAAACAGAAACTACTTCATGCCTTACGCTAATCATAAACTAAAATCTACCTTATTATCAAGATACAATATTGTACCTTGAAGGAATAAGAGGTTTCTTCCCCCATAAGAAAACCACCGTTTCCCCCAGCAGGCGACAAAAGGGAAGGGTCAACACTATGCTGAAATGAAGGTGAGGCAGGCAGCCAGAGCTCCCAGGTTTCAGCAATGCCTAATGGCTTAGTTGCCTCACACATAACCTCATTCTTCATCTCATGCTTCAAGTCACTACCAAGGTCTAACAATGTAATTAGAGGTTTCCTGCAATGAGTGGCAAATGCAGGTGATCTACTTTGAATGCAACCACTACAGCAGTGCTAAGTAGCAAGGAAGCAGAACACAGGCTAAAGAACAATTTCAAGGGCAGAGGTTGCTCAGTATTTATCCAGAAATCATATTAGAACTATTCTTTTTTTCCCCACCTGACTTGTTTGAAATGTAATCAATTCTGATAAGAAATATGGCTATAAAACTACACACAGAGTCATTTAACTATTCTGTGAGGAGCAACAGCTTAACTATTGCCTGGTGTTTCTCTTACTATGCCTTTCAACACAGTAAAACTCTGTGAGGGGAAAGGCAGCATCCTCTGGCACCATTCCCTTTGAGAGCAGCAGACAGTACTGCCCAGGGGATTTCAGATCAAGGGAAGGATCACTCTCCCAAACTAAGGCTTCTGAGATCAAGTCATGTACGTGCCCAGTGCTGTCAATACACTTGCAATCCTACAACAGCACTGAGCGAAAAGCCAAAACAAAGACACTAAATAACTTATTCACACATCAAACACGGAGACAGCCAAGGATATAAATTTGCACCTTCCCCAAAGAGAATTTCTGATTGTTTATTTTAAACTGAGAAGCAAAAAGCATGTGGCAATTATAAAAAAATTCATTATGTCCAGTAAGGTGGACATAATTTTTCCCCTATTATATAACATATTGACTCCTTTTCTTTTTTTGTTAGGTCTGTGAAACAAAGTCTGGAACAAACTGCAGCTGACTGTATGAAATAAAGTGTTGATCACAACGATTTTTTTTTCACAAAATGTTTTATGCACATATGAAACAGGTATTTAAAGAGAGGGTTAATTTGAAATCTTAATGTTGTTCTTTTGAAAAAAAAAACAAAACCAACACAACAAAACCAAAACACCTTCCCCTTACTCACCCAATTTATCTCAGCAGTGACAATTTTCTAAATTAGTTCAGTGAAGACCTCCCAGTCCTGCAGTAACCTTCACAGACAAATGAGCTAAGAAATACTCATTCTTGTATCTATGTCCCCACTTTCATCAGGAGAAATACTCCTTATAGGGAATAACTGAATATGCAAAACAATGCAAAACATTGTTTCCATACTTGTACTTTCATTTTGGCCAGCTCTGTAAACAACAACATGCAAATGTCAAATTTCTGAGCAGGTCTTTGCAAATCATATTTTCACAAATACACTCTGTCCCATACATACACACATAAACAATTTTAAGGTTCCAACTCTCATGTCTTTGAAAGCAAATCACCAAGAAACAAATCCAAAAGTTTCTATAGAGGAAGGGGCACAAAATGAAGAGAAAAATTCTTAACTTTTTTTTTAACTGAGGAAAATTCTTAACTTTTTTTTTTTTTAATTGAGAAAGACTGGTTGTTTTAATCAGTGTCACAAACTGCTTGACGCCCTCAAATATTTTGTTTAAAATAAAGAGTGTAAGGGATTATAATGGAACATGTTTTGTGCTGAATTACGTAACAGAAAAGGTATGCAAGTTTAATCAACTATTACTTAGCATATTCCCCACTTGAAGTCAGGCAGTGTTCACACTACAACTCACACATTCCTCAACCCTTTAAACGACCCGAGATTACCAGACACTCCCGGCGTATCCAAAATACACTGCAGTGATGCCTCTGCCGTGTCTCTCCCAGCCTCACAGCACAGGTTGGGCTACGGGAAGCGATCTGCAGCGGAGTGACCACAACGCTGCTGCAGGTACCAAAAAACACACAAAAACCAGCCAAACCTCCCAGCCCGACCTGAGCAAACCGAGCGCGGCCACTCACCGTTCATGGCCGTGGGAAACTGAGCCATCATGGTCCCGGATCTGCCGTGCTAACTCTTAGCCATCTGCAACATAAAAACATCGTGCCATTAATAATGCAACAAGGGCAAAACTGCGCTGCGCTCCCGCTGAGCGGGGGAACGTCCGTCCCTTCAGCTCCCACTTCCGACAGCAAACAATGCCCGGCTTGGGGCTGCTGCTGAACCAGCTGAATTTACACTGGGGAGGGGGTGGGGGAATTTTTTTTGTCTTTTTCTCTTTTTTTTTTTTTTTTTTTTTTTTTTCCTATAGGCTATGCAGTGCAGTCCTGGACCTTGTGGCACATTCTTAAAGGAAAACAGGACCAACTGTTTAGCAACTGCTGCAGGATGTACACAAACAGTTGCCAGAACATATGGCTGGGGACAGGCTTCTCCTGGCGGGAGCATAGGCTTGGGGTCCCAGCAGATCTTTGCCAGCTCTCTCTGGTAAATATTTATGTATATGAGAAAAAACCAGTGCAATCCTGAGCTCTGTAACCAAAAGCTTCTGCTGAGAAAAGTGGAAGAACAATTATTATTCAAATTCACCCATTCCACTACTCCACACAGTATTAACAAAGAAAACACTCTTATATGATGTATTCTGAAAAAAAGACTTGTCCTCATAAAAGTCCGTCACAAGCCAGTTTTCCAGGAGCAACACAATGAAGTTATTCCTTTTCCTGAGCTACTGCATAAAGACTCAAAGCAGCATTTAGAGAGTCTCAACAGAATTTACTTTCGTAATAAATACCAGAGTACTAAGACAAATTTTGTTTTTTAGTATGTATCTTTTCAAGATAATAATAACAATAATTATCTTGAAATAATAATAATTCTTCTTAATAATAATTCACTTGTAATAATAATTCTTTAGAATTGCATAATATTCACTAATACTTATCTGAGGTAAAAGCATAAAAAAATTCACTGCTATAAAAACATAGAACTAAGACAATGCAGCGAGCTTGTAATTTGGATGAGACAATTTTAGTTAAATATTGAAATATATCCGTCATTATCCTTGTGCTCTATGTGGAGAAATTATTGTACATGATGAGGATACAAAAAAGAAATATTTAATTAAAAAAAAACAAACAACCCTCTTCAGACACCAAACCTTCTTCCCACACCAAAAAAAACCCAAACCAAACCAAATATACATACAAACAAACAAAATCCACCCAACTCTTCCCCTCTCAATACAACCACAGATTTTAATATTAAGTACAGAAATACCATATTCCCCATACTCCCTTCCTCTGCATGAAAACTCCTGTGCATCTCATCACAAAAATCACAGAACTGGAAAGCACTGTGGTTCCACCTTTTTGTACCTATTGCACATTTCTTCACTAAAAATAAGAGTCTAGGATCTGTGGCTACACACACACACACACACACATTTTAAAAAAGTAAATGGAATAGCTGGTGAGTCCAAATGATCTCTCACAGAGACATTAGGTATCAACTGCACAAAGATGCAAAAAGGAAGCATGGATCTGTTCCAAGACATGAACCTACCAAGCAATCCACCAAGGGACACTTGAAATCTATAAATAGCCTTCCCAAAAAATGCTGCCACGGTTGTCAAGCATTTCTCCAGCACACTTCTCTGCAAAAGCTGTTCTGTCAAGAAGGTCTAAAAGAGAACTTGAAACCATGACACAGAAGCAGAATGCTGGAGAACACCCCCAGAATCAGCAGATTTCCACCTTCATGTGACTTGCTCCAGATTTACAGTCTTACTGAATAAGAGCTACACATCTGATCTTTCCTCCAACTCACTTTATCCTCTTTCTTTCAGTCTGCTTTTAGGTTTCTTTGAATGAGTAATCACAACAGAATCTCAAAAACATAGAATATCCCAAGCAGGAAGGGACACAGGAAGATCATTGAGCCCAACTTCAGACTCCACAGAGGGCACTAAAAATTATCCCATGATGTAACTAATGAGCATTGCCCAAACACTTCATGAACACCAACTGGTTTGGGGCCATGACCCCTTCCCTGGGGAGCTTGTTCTTGTGCATGACCACCCTCTCAGTGGAGAACTTTTTCCTTACATCCAGTCTCAAGTTCCCAGACACAGCTTTAAGCTATTCCCTCATGCCCTGTAACCTGGGAGGAGAGAGCAGCACCTCCCTGACTGCTCCCATGAGGAAGCTGTAGACAGCAAGGAGGTCACCCCTCAGTCTCGTCCCTAAGCTGAACAGACCTAGTGTCCTCAGCTGCTCCTCAAAAGTCTTGCCCTCTAGTCCTTTCACCATCTTTGTTTCCCTCTTTTGGATACATTCTGATACTTTTATATCCTTCTTACATTCTGAGGCCCAAAATGCACACAGTACTTGAGGTGAGGCCTCACAAGACAAATCTGATAATAATCAGACAGTACAGGTCTCATAATAAACTGATTAACTCTTAAAGCCCAAAAGCTTAAGATATTTATTTTTAAAATACTTTATACAACTCACAGTTACAGAGAAAGTCAGATTTTTGCCTTGTTTTTGCTGAACTTCCAAAACCCTCAACTGCTGACCACAGGAGTGTGAGAAGCGGCCCAGGCAACTTCACGTGCACAAAACGTGGAAACCCCTCTCCCTCATTTGGATGTCCATAGAGTCTCAACTGTACCATATTTTAAAATCAATTTCAACTGAAAAATCTTGAGGGCTTTGACCTCACTTTAGCTTGGTGAGGGTCCTTCCTATTCATGAAAGCTCTGTATCTACAGAGCACACGTGTCCCTGGTTCATTTCCATCACACCGAGTAACTTCTTGGATATAAGAAGAAAAGTCTTCCCTGTGAGGGTGCTGAGGCCCTGGCACAGGTTGTCCAGAGAAGCTGTGGCTGCCCCATCCCTGGAAGTGTTCAAGGCCAGGCTGGATGGGGCTCTCAGCAACCTGGTCTAGTGGAAGGTATCCCCGTCTATGGCAGGGGGGTTGAAACGAGATGATCTTTAAAGGTCCCTTCCAACCCAAACAATTCTATGATTCTGTGATAACAGAACTTTCATAGCTCACATCAGGCAGAATGAGAAGTTGTAGTCAGACACTGAATACAACACTCCCAAGTTATCCTCCATACCTTTATCTGTCCTCTCAAAAGAAGCAGCCCAGGATCAGACGTTCTAATGCCACAATCTTTGACACTCTGTTCCAGTGCAACACTCCCAAAAATAATGAACATTGCAGGCCAAATTCTCAACACAGGATTTTTCAGCATAACCTGAAAATTCCCCAAGTTTCCCAAGCTTGGGTTTGACCCAAGCTGGTAAGTCTGCATTGGGCATTGCCATGTAGATGTACCATCCTTAGGTCCAAAAACAAGAGCGAACTGCCCAACAGGTCTTACTGAGAGTACATTACAGCAATGATATGTGATTAAATCATGATTTAGCTCTGTTGTCTCACTATTATGTCTATATGCAGAACTTGTCATATTTTAAATAAATACTAAATCTGAAAGGCACCAAAACTCTCCTACATTAAGCCTCACAAATAGCAAAAACTATGACTTACAGAAGCAACCAAAAATCACAAATGAGTTTTTTACGGGATTTCATATCTCACCAGCACTGAGACCCCATTTTATCCCTTTGCACAGATCCATTTCATTCGAACACCAGGGTTACACCAAGCACACATGCTTCTCTGGTGACAGATTCTGAAGTTATACTGATAAGCAAAAAAAGGAAAAATAGAAGTATTGCTGCAACATAATTTCTCCTCATTATTTTCTTTTTTTTTAGAGAAGGAGGAAACAGCCCAGTAAACCTGAAGTCTACAAAAATTTTTCAAAAGTCTGTGAAAACAATCCTTCTCAAAGAATGGAGCTCGTCCTCAACAAGTATTCTGTCTTCGTTGTCCCCACAGTATATCACAAAGGCTTGGAGATTACGCATATATTAAAGTTAAGAGCTGCTTATTTTTACAAATTCCAAATAAAGTTGCTCCAGTTGCCATCTATAACGATCTAAGTGTGTAAAAGCACCTTGCACCTTTGGGACACAGGTGTGAACCACTTATGTAGCATGAAAGTCTCAGCAAAATATTCTTGAAGTCAAATTTATGGTTTTTAGAATAATTTCAATAACTTCTAAACATTAATGGAGGTGAAAGCTGTTAATTTCCAAAGAACCTTACTACACAATACTACAGAGAAAGCCAATGCCATATAAAAATGTTCACTAAAGGAAAAAAATAAAAATCAAGAAAATACTATAATCAGTATCCCAAACAGATGATATAGATGAAATCACGGCCATCACCACCAGAATATTTCACAGAAAATTATCTGTTTTTCCAAAATGTTCTAGGAGAGGCGCTTGGTGAACTCAGCCATCAGTCATAAGAAACTGTGGCAGCCACAGCACAAAATCCATGTTGTAACAACAGGATCAAACACCCCTGTGAACATCATAGACGACATTAAGTCCTGCTGCCATTTAGGGTGAAAACAGGAAAACTTGGATCTTACATTTAAATAGCAGAACAGCAAGTTCTTGTAAACAAACCATCTGACTAGTCCCGATGTTTAAAGCACTAATTGTTTTCACAAACTGACCTGCCAAACTGCAACTGCTGTTCCCTCTCTCCGTGTTCATTATAGTTGATACAAATTGGGAAAACAAATGAGGAGATTGCAAGAAGCCGGGGGGACCTCAGGACTATGCTGAAGGTATTAGAAAACATTAGATAGAGCTGGGCACATGACAGGAGAAAGGGAAAAGAAAAAGCTTCTTTCCTATCATGGGCGTATTGCCATTATACGAAGAACAGCCTTACCACAGTCTTTGTTAATATTTATACTTGCATCAATTTTTTTCAAAATATTTCTCAGAAAAACCACAACCACATAGTTTTAGTAGGAATGAAGGTCTGGTGCAACAAGCTCTGTCTGGAAGAAAGAAAATGCCTTGGAAGCAGCACGTGTGGACACACTACTAACTACTCTTTTCCTTTCCCCAAGAGCAGGAAGAAGATATATTGCAGATTTTTGCTGCAAGAACCAATTAGCAAGGACAGAGACTGCAGTACTAGTTGACCAATTTACTCTTTACAACACC